TGGGATGCCTTGAGGGTGAGTAATTTATGGGGTAATGTTCATTTTTGGGTGAATATGCCTTTAATGTCAGAGTGGGTTTATTGTGACACCTTCTGACATTCACAGGTGCCGCCGGCTGCTCAGTTAATTCCTTACTGTTTACACAAAGATATGATTTTTATTATAATGAACAGTGTTATTATTATTATTACACAAAAATAATATTTTCATTCACTTGCAGCATTTCAGTGCGTTGTGGTTGAACACACAGCTTTATTTGAATGTTAATGTGCTTTTGTTAGCCGTTAGCAGCCGCTCCGAATCTCCAGCTGTATCTCAGAGATCAGCCGCTGATCGCACTCAGAGACACTCGGTCTGATTTCTCCCATAATGTGATGAAATAGAAGCCTGACGGCAAAGATGTGCATTTGTTTAACAGTGATGTTTTTCTAGATGCTGAGCAGAAGAACGGAAAGGGCCGAGATTCACCTCTGAAGGACAGGAGAGCAGAGACGGAGATTGGTGAGTGACCAGAGCAGACCAGAGCTTTTCTGTAATGATCTGTGAGTTTCTCTCAAGCGTCTCTGTGCCGCAGGATTCAGCAGCCGCTGCTCGCATCCCAAAGGCCCCCGGGAGCCTCCGTCGGAGTGGACGTGACCGCGGCACCCATCCGCTCCACACTCCACGCTCCTCTTTCTTCTATAAGTGCCACTGTAGACGACGGCGCCTCTTCTCTGACTAACACAATCAGTAAAGCTACAAAGATAATCTACCATGATGCACCTCGCTGCCATGGACTCGCTGTGCTGGTGCTCCGGGACCAGAACCTGCCTTACTCCTGCTGCGGGGCTGGACCCGTTCTTCTGCAATAGTTTAGACTGAGATCAGACGGCGCGGGCCGGAGTTCACAGGGCGAGCCGTAAATGATGATGATGATGATGATGCAAACGTACTATCACTGAATATATTATTGCGATGTAAGACGTCTGTGCATGAAAGCATCTGGTGTACCTCAAACTAAGTTATTTGCCCTCCTGTTACAACAAAAGCTTTCGGGGCTGTGTTTTCTTTTCTGGCCCTTTCTTTGCGTATCGGCCGCTTCACGAGACGCTGCGGGCTGGAGATTGTATTGTTGATGCTTTTTGTAAATTGTATTCTAGACATTATTTTTGTATATGCCATTTTCTCACTTCACAAACGACTCCAGACAGCTCGCCCGTGCCTTTTTTTACTGTGTGTGTGTTTGAGACGCAGAGGGAGAATGTGTGCGAGTTACGTAACCTCACATTTAAACCTCTGGGATTTTACTTGACCTTCCAACACAGACCTGTCAATCAATCAATGTCAGTAAAACATTAGGAGGAAAAATGTCTTCTGCTGCTTTATTCTCAGTGCATACTGTGTGTGTGAGAGTGTGTGAGTGTGAGTGAGTGAGTGAGTGATTGTGTGTGTGAGTGAGTGAGTGAGTGATTGTGTGTG